CATAGCAGGGGTTTTACTGAATGGAAAATAGATAAATGATAAATTGCATTTCGGTTTAGTAATTTTGCATTGCATGCGTTTGTTGGATATTTCCTCAAGTAACATTTAAAATTTTCCCAAAACATATTTGAATCAGGATCAGAGAGTTTATCAAAGTTTATTTCAAATTGTAATACCGTGGTAGAAACATTTACACTATTGGTTAATATGAGCCGCTTAAGTTACACTTGTACCGTTTTAATTACATAAATACCCTTTTTTATTTACTTATGTACCGTAAATGTTACATCTCACATTTAAATTACGTATGTTCCTTTGTACCTTTTAATAACATATGTCCCGTTTTGATACAATAGTGTTGTGTACCGTTTTAGTCAGACATAATATTATATATTTTTAATTACATATATACCTTTTTAAATATATGTACCGTTTAAGCTACATATATACCGTTTGAGATTAGTAATACATAATAACATGGGTGCGGTTTTAATTATATATTTACTTTTTTAATTACATCTTCCTTACGTATTGATTAATATGACCCTATAATTTCATACTTGCCTTTGCATCATACGTCCTGTACAGAAAAATAAGAATTGTTTTATATGCTTTCCAAAACTCATCTCTTATTAATACATGAATTTGCATGTTACCTTCAATGTATTATGTATTAATAAATAAGTAATATATGTTCTGAATTTCTATTTTTGTTACAGCTAGGGCGAAAACTGGGGTCAAAATGGTTACAGAATGATCTCACGAAATAAAAGCAACTAACGTTGAATCGCATCGATGGTAACATTTCCCATCATGTAACTTTAATGCGGTAATGTGTAACTTATACAGACGGCGGAAGCTATGCAACTGTTACTCATTCTGAATCATTTATATCGTGAAACATTAGTCATGTTTTTATGACGACATTTATAGATCTACATGATTCTGACATCACCATTCTCTTGTTTATTTTTAGAAACCCGGTATTTTACATTTGATCATTCGGAACTGCCTCGGCTATTATCTATAATATTAACCTCGGAAACAATACGGATTGAAAGTAGTTCTACCACGTGGTTTACAGATATAAACAGAAACAGAGATAATGTAAAACGAATGTATATATTTGACATCTAATGTCTGTTCACCGGTACTCTTATGCTTGAAAATATGTCTGACAACAATTTGTAATTTAAATATGCCCACAGATGTTCAATTTTAAATAAATCCGACCAAATGTCAACAGGTTGGTTTTTTGTACTTTCGGTTTCTACAGCCATATTAGTAAATATATAAATAATGTATTGTTTGCTTTTGTACCTATGAATTCACTTATTTTAGGTGGACTTTAACTACATATATTGGAAATAAACGTGTCAACAACTCCCAGCATTAAATTACTAATTGTTTACATGTTTAGTTTCTTAGCGTAGGTTAGACCGGAATACCGCATCCGTTCTGTGTATTCATACTATTGTGTTCGAGGTCCTTATCCGAAGGCTTACGGAAAGGGTCCTCTTCACTTGTGTATTTTTTATTAATTAAAAAATGTTGGATACCAATTAGAAGCAAAACAGACAAGGTTCTTAAGCGCGGGGCTATATTTTTCGCATGCGCGAGTTGTCAAATAAAAAAAAGAAATTGATATTTTTTCTTACAAATTGCAAACCAGAGCTTAGATAAAAAAAAAGAAATGAGAAAGCAATAAGTTTGGTTACAATTTGTGCTCACACTTTTATTGAAATGTGTCTAAGTAGTCGGTTAAAGGAAATAGTGTAAAGGGAACAAAGGATGTTATTTACACATTCATTACAACACTAACATTGAACGTAATTCACCAAATTGCGATCAAAATATTATGCAAAATTAGATTTCGTTTGTACCGCAGAAAAAATGTGATAAATACTGCAAAATCAGTCATTAATGGCACATAACATAACACTTATCATTTGAATATTGAAAATTTTTACCTTTCTTAAAATTTTAGAATTTGAATCTAATAAATATGGTCACTATCTAAGGCCAATAAATATAGCATGATTTTTACAGAAGTATGGTCCTTTTAAAACTTCTTCTGAAATAATCATAACTGGGATCATATTTATGTCAAAGGCCCAAACTTATGAGTTGTGAACATTTCCGTATTTCGATCATAATGATTTAAGTTATGAAATGAAATCTTCATTTTATAAATCAAACATTATCCAGGTTCGTTTTTTTTTATCAAATTCAAGGAATAGTTGAGCATGCTGTCCTATTGACATCTCTTGTTGATATTCATAAAAGAAAAAAAAAAGAAATTATTAGCCATTATGTTTCTGTCCGCCACTTTAAAGGGGAGACTTAAAAGAGTTACCATTACTTTCAAAAAATGAGACTTAATTTCAAAATACTAAATTGATATATATGGAACTAAAGTAACGCAAACAACGCAAGGAATCGGATTTCGTCATTTTAAGTTTGCTATTAAATTTTTAAAAGCTCGTATATAATTTCTTTGAAAATCTTGAGTTTACATTTTTATAACTTTTCATTTTATATATGATATACGATTTAATTTCTGCAAAACATAAACGTTTCAAAAACGTTTTATATGCATCAATGTGGGAGATATATTTCACACTTTGTTTTGCAAAAAAAATGTCCTTGGGGCATTTTTGCCAAATTATGTATTTGATTTCTTTGACTTGGTTGGAATGACATGAGCAAATTCAAGTGTGACTGTCACAAGAATGCCACAGACCAAATTTGAAGTAAATCTGCTTAGTATTTTCAGAGAATAAGACGATTGTTGACGCATGACGACGGACGACGGAGCACTCCCCTTTGATACTAATAGCTCAAAAGCAAAACCTTGAAGCCGCATACCTCCATATAAGCAAAGCAATTTCAAAATCTTCAACCTTTAGAAAATATGTATTAAGAGTTCATTATTATTACAATTTATCGTTTGACTTGTTATTACCTTTTTGATACATGCCATTTTGCAACTGATAAAAGTAGATCATCGTGTTTTGATTGTTTTGAAGTATATAATTATGAAATATATGTATGTACAGTCTTTCCTGATATGACCTGAAATTTTCATAAAACATTCCGCGTCAATTTTATGAAGTAATGCCGAATAGGTTATTCAGTAGAAAGAAATAAACGCAATTCCAACATTTTTTCAATCTTTTATTACTGAATCAATGACAAAAGTATCAAAAAACTAAACATTTCGGAGCTCTTCTCCAAAGCCCCATGTACTCAATCTTATAACTTCAATCCTAGAGATTGGCCATACGTTAGAACCCAGCCAAATATTGATATAAAATCAAAACATGAATCCAAGATACGTGCATTTTAGACCGCAGTAAATTGAATACTCTTTAAGGCCGAACTCTTGATATGAACTCTTCAATGAACCAAAAACCTACAAGAAGATAACGTAATATAAAACAACACTGAATTCGGGGTAACTTTATACAGCTGTAGCTTGTTAACTGCATCCAAAACAGTTGAAAAAGATGTTTACTAAGTACGTTACGTTTAACATTTTACATTAAAATTCTTTTTTTTTTCTGACAGGTATGTCACATGGTCACTTAGCTTCATGTTCTCTTCGACAAATGTTTCAGCGTAAGGAAAATTGTAAAACATGACCGGATCTTTAATGGAATACTTAAGATTGATACCGTCGTTCCTTAACTACAAAAAAACTGAGCTTCTTGTCAACTTAAATATTTCGTTTTGATAAATGATCAGCTTTTAAATCAGCCTATGGAAAAAAGAGCCAACTATATTTAAGATTAACAAATCACGCATATGCTATGTTTTTGTAATATCTCTAACGATGTATATATCTTAAGATGTTTCTTGAGTGTTTTGTATCTGGAGGTTTTCATCAGGACATTCAGATGATCAAATCTGAAGTTTCCCTTGCTAATTTCCATTGCCAATTGCTTAGTTTTAAGTTTTGAAATTTTCAACAACAAAAAGTCATATCCGTTATTCGAAATCACTTCATAAAATCCCATATCAAAGAGGGTGTCCTCATATTGTTTTAGTATATAATGTTCTCGATGTCTTTTCAAAGTAAAAATCAGAAAATTTTGTATTGAGAACATCAAAAATGTACATCTTTTTAAAAGATGCACAACTGACAAACTTTTAGAGTTATTTTTACAGAAATCAGTTATTTGTAAAACATCTTTATATTTCCTGATAGCATCAGATAAGTCGAATTACATATTCATCATACAATATCGATAATTCAATAGCATCTACGATCATCTCCTTACTTAAATTCCGCATCTCATCTAGCAGCCAGCGTGCCTCTTTTCGGCCTCCTTTCATAAGAGTATAATGAAAAACAAGATTGCCATTTTCGGCAGCACAGTTTAAAACATTAAAAGAAGAGTTGTTCTATAATGAGCAATATCCCAAAGAGTAGCATCAGATGGCTGCTTATTTTCATCTATGATTTTAATAATATGTGCTCCAAGAACTTCGTCTGTAATTTGTGTATGAAATGCCCAAATAAAATTGAACACATTTCCACTTTTGATAAGAAATAGATACAAAAATGGTTCTATGACTGTTTGAAATTCCTCAAAATTAAGTTCCCGTATTGTAAACATAAAAGATATTTCCCATGCCATTTTGAAAAAGATGCAGGAGCAGCTTTTAAATTGATCTAGGAAAGTTAAATGAGAACGAGATAACACTGCAAAATCAAGAAAATTAGTCCGAGTCTTCTTAATTGCATAGACTTTAGCAAGTGCATATTGAACTGGTGTCTGTGAATTAACATCTTTTTGATTCAACAATTTTCTGAACTCTAACGGATAGTTGATTGTTATATATTCGATGATAGAAAACTGGCCATTTACTAGTGCATAGTGTAAAATATTTCTTCCGAACACATCAGTCGACTGAATATTGATATTACATACTTCAACAAAATATTGGAAGCATTCCAATGAACTAGTTTGGGGGTTCATCACGTATTCATGACTTCAAATATAATACTGCGAATTTTGATCGAATAAACACGTATGATGCAAAAATCCTCTTTCATTTATATCCTTTATATCTGGAATTACTACCGTAAATCCATTTGTCAATCGAAATAAACTTTGTATTGATGGTGTTATCGCAGCGATATGATATGCAGTAGAACCATTTTTACATTTGATACTGCTTATATCAAGTCTTAAATCTTTTATTGCATAGTCAATGAAATAAGTATTTGCATCTCTTGCAGCAAAGTGAATTGGATAAATTCCTTCTTCGTTAGCTGAATTCAAATCAGTAATAATGTTTTCTTCTATTGCATACTTCATAAATTCGTGCCGCTTATGTTTTATAGAAAGATGCAAAAATGAAGAACCATTCTCACAAAAACACTGTTCAACATATAATGATGTGTAGTTTATGGATGGAGGACCATCAACCATATGATATAAACCTGTCAATAAATCATCCCTAAAGTGGATTGTGTCACAATAATACGGATCGCATCTGTCAGATGAAATATGATCTGTAAGTAAAGGCAACAAATCAAATTTATTTCGAAATACAGTCCGCAATGTTACCGTATAACCAAATAAATCTGTGCAATCAAGTAATCCGGGAAAAATTTTTATTAAAAGTTTTGCTACCTCTGTTGAACCTGACCAAATTGCGGCGTGAATTGGCGTTTCCTTCATTACTATCCACCATTTATCAAGAGGGTATATGATATGACTGGGAGGATTCATGCGTATAGTAAAATCATCTTTTATTTCAACGTTTTTAGGATTTTTTACTTCCATCTCTTTAAATGCATCTCTAGACTGTTCATCAGATATACAACTAAGGGTTAATTTTCGTTCAATCAAAGACAGAATGATATTTTCATTTCCGGATCGAGCAGCATAGTAAATACAGTCGGATAGCATATCATTGTCCAAATTGGAAAATGTCTGTAAAACATTTAAGTTCCCCATTTCACACGCAATATCACTTGGACGCTGTCCAAGGGATGTTTTCCAATAGATCATATCTTTGTTGTATTCTAAAAGTTTACTGACTATATTCTCATATCCATGTTTAGCAGCTATATGTATAAGGCCGTATCCATAGTAACGAGATTGTTTTATAGCCTTTATTTTGTTTAATATATCATAGGAATCTACAGCATAATTACTTTCTGTAACAAAGCTAACGTTGGCTCCATTGTTTAGAAGAAGCAAAAGCTGATCAATATCTCCTTTTAAAGCTGCTATAAAGGATGGGGATTGTCCCTCGTGTAGTGTATTTACGTCCAGATTGTGCTTTATCAATAAAGCAAGTGCATTTATACCTTCTGTCTTCCTTATTACATTATGTAACGCTTCGTTTACATAGGTTTGATTAAGGTTGTCCATATCCAATGCAAGAAACTTTTGATTTAACGTATCATTTAAAGCTTCACTCACGTGTATTGATAAATCTGCTATGTCAACTTCTCGTTTGTTAGATATTTCATTTAATAAAAAGCATGAAATATATGCATGTCCGGCTTTTAAAGAAATTGAGTACTTTTTATTTCCAGAATTTATCAACCATTGGTATAATGATTGGTGAAATATTGTAACAAAATTATCATTCCGGAGAAAGAATGACAACTTCTCCATCTGGATACCGAATTGTACTTTGTCAGTAATGTTATTTGATACCAAAATATGAAAAATGTCTTTTTCTCTTAAAAGGTTGAAGGATGCCAAAACAATTTCTAATACTGCCTTTGATGGTAAAAACGAATCAGTATCGTCATATTGCCGATCAAAGTTTAATTCATAAATTTCTTCCAATGAGTCAGGTAAGGATGTAATGTTATTATTTTCTAAACGAAATCTAATTGCATGAATTAGAAATAAGAAATTTCCATCACAAAGTTCAATGATTTTTTCTATTTCCCTGTCATTGTTTTCAAAGCCATGTGACGAGTACTTGACTTGTATATACTCTTTGACATCTTTGATATTCCTTGAGTCGCTTGGCTTTAAATAAAAGTGTTCCAAATTTTTTAAAAAGTATAATTCAGTGATGTTTCTTGACGTAACAAAAACTTTGAACCATTCTGGTAGTTCCCTTACACGTTTAATTAATAACTCCAAAATCAGGTTTTTGCCAGATGATTTTTCATAACATTCGTCGATTGCCTCTATGATAAATATCCATGGAAAGTTACTATCAAAAGATAGCTGTCTAAATGGGAAAATAATACTTTGGTCAAAACAGGCCACTGGATCATTCTCACAAAACTCTTGACTGTATATAATGTTATGATCAGCCATTGTGGAAATTATGTTTCCGTATTCCTCATTTCTTGTTGCTAAAAAACCAATTAACCTTCGAATAAATCTAGCAGGACTTTGTGTACTTTTTACATCAAACTTACAAATATGAAATCCAACAACATGTGATTTAATCTCATAACTCTTCTCCCTTTCTTTTGCACAAAGTATATGTGAGACAAACGATGATTTTCCATAACCCGCTATCATTGCAACTTCCATGAAAGTAGAGTTTGATGATATAAATTTCGATTCCATTATCTCAAATAACCATTCCCTACCAATAATTGGTTCGCTATCATAGATATATCCAAGTAGAGGCAAGTTTTCCTTGAATGAATACATGTATTGTTCTGATAAAAAAATCTAAAATAATTATCATTCAATTTGAATACATATATGTATATAGGGAATATTGCATCGACTTACTTTTACATCAATTATGACGCTATGCATCGCTCGATTTTAAGGGATTATTATGAATACATTTATACAACAGCCCTATGCATTATGTGACTTTTATGTCACGAGAGGTAAATAAAATTTGGATATTTTTAAGGAAACATAATATTTAGATCATTTTGAAGAAAGTATAGATTTAATGTCCTAAATATACCTTTGTAGCTCAAACTGCGATTAACCTTTATTTTGTCCTTATATCCATAATCCTTCAACATATTAAAAGAACAATGTTTGCTATGGACATGGTGAAGAATCGGTGTCTTTATTTCCAATATTTTCTTATTTCGTCATTATCATATTTATCACACGTTCATGATACTCTTGCAAATTTCTTTCCATTTCATTTTGTGTTTCTTCTATATCCCTTGACACTTGCTTGATTTTCATCGAGTTTACTCACATTATCTTTACAATGCTTTTTTGTTGTGTAAATAGCAAATCGTTTCACTACATTGGTATTGTTCATATTTTACTTCATCTATTTTATCAAAAATGTGTACATGTTGCTCATTTCCTATTTTGACTGTACTATGCAGATTGTTTTGAGATTCCATTACTCTATCAGCTATATTCTGCTAGTGTATATTGTTGTCGGAATGATTACTTAAAGCTTCAATTAAATATACTTTTAAGTGATATTGACAACATATCAACTTTTTCGATTCTGTCAAGCTCAAACAAACAGTCTTGAGCATCGATGTGCAGCATAAGATCTGCATCTTCAAAAAGGTCTTTCAGTGCATAAAAAATCCCTTTTCCAAAAAGCTATAACTCTCAATGTTGGATTAGGCGCGACGAAGGTATGTTCTACATTCTTTTAAATTGTTTAAGACATGCTGACGAATCTTGAATTAATTTTTTGCAATTTTCCCAAATAGGACACGATAATGAAATGTCATAAAATGCTTGATTTGTCCATAATTGTGGCAAGAAATAAGTTGCAATACTTTCATATGAAGTTGGCAAGTCCCACGACATCATTTTGTCCCAGTAAATATTTTCAGGTTACTGGCTTTGCACAGGTGTTTTTGCCATGTACTTTTAAGAGAGACGAGTGAACGCTATTTGCTTATGTTATAAAAAGCTTTTTTACCAAAAGATGTTATCCGTAACTAGGAAAATTGGCTTCTTTCCAAGCTTATCCTGGGGTACAAATAAACTTTTACCGTTATAAGAAGTGTATAAGAAAACTTATTATTGGTTTTCAATGCCGTTTACTCAATAAAATAGGTATTCACTTAAAAAAAGAAGATCGCTTGTTTTGCTTAAAGTGACTCGCTTTTTGCAATCTGTTTAGAGTTTAAATTTTGAAATCAGCACTTGTTTCATTGTATTTGGTCTCCATGTCGATGTAATTCGGTTGACTGTAGATGATGGTGCTGCAGGTATATAGTATCTGTTTAGATAACAGTAGTAATTTTTTGTTTACTGTCCCTCGAGTATTGAAAAAATGAGATAAACACACATTAAACTAAACAGGTTACAGATATATGACGAATTGTTCTATTTATTAGCTCTATACCAATAGTTTATATACAATTGCTACATATGAAATGAATAGCATGTAATTAATCGTCATATATATATTCCTAAATTGAATTATAAATCCTTACGTGGGTAATACTTTTTCATACATAACGTCAATGATAAAGCCATAACAGACAACAGTATGCCATGTCGAATGACTATATAACTTACGGATGCATTTTGCGTTTCCGAAAATGGGCATATTTACATTGTGTATGTTTGCTCTCTATTTAAAAAAACTTGAAATTAGAGCCCAACAAGCTCTCGACGTATTCCATATCGAGAGTCCTTCTTATCAGGACCTCAGTATTGCATATGACAAACGATTTCAAGGATACGATGCGATTTTTGTGCAGATGAGATCTAAAAATATCATACCAACGTGAACTGGGTGAAAACATGCCGTTTACACCAATACTAAACAAGGTATTTGTTTAATTACCTTTCTAGAATAGAGAACAAGAAATAGAGATGTGCTTTCCTTACAGTCTGTGACATTATTTCAGTGATTTTTAGTGTGTATTTTTGTTTGATTCCTTTGTTTTTTTTGTTGTTTTCTTTCTTGGGGGATGGGAGTTCTTTGTTGGTCTTATTATTATTACTTTTT